TAACTTTTGGTGCATTTTCATGTATACACATTACTGTAGCTAGAGGCAATTACTAGCTACTGCAGAATATGCAATGATTCCGTGCAGATATTACTAAATAAGGGTTTGTAATACTCTAAAAGAGGATCTATCACAGCCCTATACTTTATTAAAGAGTCCATAGGGTTTCCTTATATATTCTCTGACTGACAAGTCACTATTTAGAAAATATATATACATTGGTTTACAATAATATTTTTGAATACTAGTATGTATATACTTTAGTTTATTATCATCATTGAGAAAACTCTCATTAGATTTTAGTATTACTATTAAAAGTTATATTTTAATTAGTTAGGACACTCATTTCTTCTTTTTTTGTTTATCTAGCAATGTCTAGATCTCGAACGGCTTAAGTGGTAGAATTATTTGGCAGTGAATATTAGAGGATAACTGTTCCTCAACTCTATACTACTAATCCTATATTCGTATACCTAATTATCTTTGTTCTTATACCATAATTGGGTTGTACAATCTTTAGTACAGCTAGGTTCTCAGTCTCACTATAATCGGCTTGAGATACACCGCAGCACATTTACCCCAGGTATAAGAATTTAGCAACTTTCGTTCTCTAGCAACGATTTATGGGATTACCTATATTGCTATTTTTTAAGTAATTTAATCTCACTTATATTTAAATATAATACTAAGAATACTAAAATACCATAATACTAAGAAACAGATTTTTGAAGTCTGATATATATATTGGTCCTATGACGGCTTTAGTTGAGCTGATGTAGTGAGGTTCAGCATTGTGGTGTAAGAATATAATTTAAATATATTCTTCTGTTTTTCTTTCATGTGGTAATATTGTATTAGGATAGGCTCTAACACAGATCTACTATATTTTACAGGCTTACGGAGATGCTGACATAACATGCACTGTCCCTGGTAGTTTTTAGGGACTTTGTTTTAGCATTAGATGGAAAACCTTTCGATTCCATCTGTATGCTATTAGAATATATGTATAGGCATTGTACTGTATTTATTGTTATTGTTTTTGGACGGATTCTGGACATAATAGAGTATATGTATACTGATGTTGGAATGGGATGGTGGCTCTCGGTGTGGGAAGATGGGGATAAATGTCATTAAAATTAATTACAATAAATTCACAGGGATTGAATTCCCCTTTTAAAAGAGCAGGTCTTTTGGATCTTTTGAACAGACACCATATAGACATTGATTTTATTCAGGAAACACACTGGAATGATAGAGATCTGGGATTGTGGAAATATTGTAAAAATATCCAATTATATATACATCAGGCGTTTTGGGGAAAGAAAAGCGAGGGGTGGCTATAATAATTTCTTCAGGGGTTAAGTTTGAATATATCCATCATGTGGATTACATTCTGGGTAGATATCTGAATTTAATGTGTAAAATCAATTATATTTGTGACGGAGCACCCTGTACCCCTGGATGGGTACCTCTGCCAAGGACCGCTTCCTAGCTGGAACAGGGGACAAACCTCAGCACTCTTGCCCTCAGTCACCGTGGCTTGACTGGGGCCCTGGAACGCAACCCCCAAGCACTGGACGACACTCAATCCTGGGAGCTCTAGTCCTGGAACTGCTCCCTCCTGGAGCCAAAGAGACATTCATTCTAGGCAACCCCAGGCACTAAACGACACTCAGTCCTGGGAGTTCTAGTCCTTAAAAGGACTTTCCCAGTTGAATCCTCACAACACATAACCAGACAACACATGGGAATTCAAGTTGGAATACGTTTAATACATACAAATATATAAGGTGCGCTGTGTCTTTAAGACAAAATTTGCGATGTGCCACAAGTGCAATATATTATAATAAGTTGTAAAGTGCAAAGTGAAATAAAGTGCACTTAGTGAATATGGTGATAAGACCAAAATTATTGGCTTATACATACATGACTGCGTCTTCTCCAAATATTAAAACATGTAGGGGAGAGACATAAAAAGAACAAATAGTGTAACACTGTAAAACTAGAATCTTATATAGTGCAATTAAATGTACACTCACAAAGATAGAGCAGAGAAAGCCTGCTCTAACTGTAACAGCTCCTTAATAATTCCCTCTTGGGACAGAGACGGCACGAAACGTATCCACTTTCACAATATTTATTGCACAGACCAATACAGCATCTCCTTCTCCCTCCATATGCAGCAGGTAAACAATGTAAAAAATGCTGATAACAGGGGTGTCGACTAAATCCTCCGCGTTCAGCTGGTCCTTCAGCGAGCTGAGACTTCCGGGGGGTGGAGTTACCAAAGGTGCGTAGTGCGTGCATAATGCATGGTACGTATGACGCGTTTCACCGCATTCACGGCTTCATCAGATCTGTCCGCTTACGTCTCAAGTCTTTTATACACACCCACAAGGGTGTGTCCAAAATTAAATGTGAAAGTCTTATTACTGATAGTCCTTTTCTATCATATCCCATATTGGTATAAATAATACAATCTTCAACTTTATTTAAATATCCTACAAAATCATCATTTTAAAAGACATCCTATGACTATATACAAAACAACATAGGAAAATCATAAAAAAAAAATCATAAATAAAAACTACACCCATTAATATTAGACACTATATCAAACCCAGAACATGCTCATACCTCTAATACAAATCTATTATCTATAAATTAAATAAAATAAAGCAATCCTTAAAGGAACATTATATTGTAAACCCAAAGTAAAATACTATGAAAAAAAATTAAAAAAATAAAATAAAAAAGCTACTTGGAGAGAAGAGGGAAAAGAACAAGGTTATGTAATCCTGATTATATACCTAAAATCATCAGACAAAAATTAAAAATACCATAAAAAATACCTAAAACCTATTCTATAAAATTAAATAAATCAAACTCAATATTGAGTCCCCTCGGTTCTAAAGTTTTTAATCTATGGACCCATTGCATCTCCTTTCTACCTATATCAATAATATGGTTACCTCCTCGCCATGATTTTTCAATTATTTCTATTCCTAAAAAAGCAAGGCCCTTGGGATCTTTGTTATGATATTTTTTAAAATGTGCAGAAACACTGTGATTATCATACCCCTTTATTATGTTATTCACATGTTCATATATACGTTTATGTAAAGGGAGAATCGTTTGCCCTATATACTGAAGTTCACATGGACATATTAATACATAAATTACATTCTTACTAAAACATGTGATAACATATTTTATAAAAAAACTCAGTCTCATTAGATCTACCTTCAAATTTACTGATGCCTTTTAAAGTAGCGTTTCTACTGCATCTACACCCTGTGCATTTATTACATGAATAGAACCATTTTTTATCGTTTAAGAAAGTTTTGGGGATTTCTTTTTTAGGATGATTAAAAGTTAAAATACGTTTAAAATTAGGTACCCCTCTAAAAGTAATAAAAGGCCTCTCTGGGATTATTTTCTCGAGTTCAGTATTCTTCTTTAGAACGTGCCAATGCTTGTTAATAATGGACCTGATTTTATTGTGATCTAGATTAAAATCAAAGACCAGAGGGAGTATCTTTCCTTTATCTTTATCCAAATTCTCTATAGTCTCCTGTTCATTTATTAAACTCGTGAGCTCTAAGTTTATCGTTTCCTTGTATGCTTCTTCTAAGATCTTTTGTGGATATTTTTTCTGCTTGAATTTGTCTATCACTACCTTGGTTTGTTCTTCAAATATATCTTTGCCTGTGCAGTTCCTTCTAATTCTTTTTAACTGCCCTTTAGGAATATTATCCAGCCTGGGAGTATAGTGACCACTATTGTAAAGAACATAGTTATTGGCATCTACTTTAAAAAAAAAAAAAAAAATTGTTTTAATCTAATTTTTATCTATATAGATCTCCAGATCTAAATAATTAATATTTGACCTACTAAAATTACTTGTTAAAGAAATGCCCCAATAAGTATTATTTAATCTTTCCAGAAATCTAATAAGATTATCCTCTGGCCCATTCCAAATAAAAATTAAATCAATTAAATATACCTATGGTACGTGACCAGGTTTGCCCCCCATTCTGAGCTACCATATATAAGCTCATTTTCCCAACCTGACGTATACAAATTAGCATAACTGGGGGCAAACCTGGTCCCCATAGCCGTCCCTTGAACTGTAAATAAAATTTCGAATTAAATAAAAAATAATTATTGTTTAAAATCCAACAAATACTTTCAATTAAAAAATGTATATGTTTTTCTGAAAATTTCACAGATTTCCTTAAACAGTCCTCTACTACCTGGCATCCTTGAATATGAGGAATAGACGTATACAAGGAGGATACCTCACTTGTTACCAATATATATGAGTCCTCCCATTTAATATTATTTAAAATTTTAATAACATCCAAAGTATCCTTTAAATACGAAGGTATAACTTTAACTAGATCCTGAATCCGGCTATCCACATATTTGGAAAGATTGGCAGAAATTGAGTTAATTCCAGAGGCAATAGGTCTCCCGGGGGTGGGGTTTCTTAATTCTTGTGGACCTTGGGCAGGGTATAGAAGACTGGCATTCTTGGAAAATCTTTATGAAGAAACTTATATTCATCTTTATTCAAGATGCCATCCTCTCTTCCCCTGTCCAACAGTTTATACAAAGAAATGTTCATTTTTTCCAGTGGATCTTTTTCCAAGGCTTTAGGACATCAATCCAATTGTCCCCCAAAACAAGGACAAAAGGTGCCTGTAGCAAGTGTGTTAAAAAATGATAAGCTTAGATTCATGTCTACAAATGCTCGCAGTTTAGGGAATAAGATCCATGAACTTGTGGCAATAATGGCAACTGATAGTGTAGATTTAGTCACTGTTACTGAGACATGGTACAATGAGAAAAATGACTGGGACATAGCAATACCAGGGTACTCTTTATATAGGAAAGATAGGGAAGGCAAGAAAGGGGGAGGGGTGGCCTTGTATGTGAAGGATAGCATAAAATCTAGCCTAATAAAAGCTAGTGAGGCAAACATAGAGTCCGTTTTGGCTACGTTAGAATTTGGTAATCACACAGTAACTCGTGTAGGTGTGATTTATAGGCCCCCAGGACAAATTGAAGAGTTAGATAATCTACTAGTTGAGGAAATAGCTAAAATGACAATGAGGGGGGAAGTTATCATCATGGGTGACTTTAATCTTCCTGATGTAAATTGGAAAACAAAATTAGCTACTTGTGCCAGGAGCACACATATTCTAAACTCCCTACTGGGATTGTCTCTAAAACAAGTTGTTGAGGAGCCAACTCGTAAAGAGGCCATGCTAGATTTAGTGTTAACAAATGGAGATTTGGTATCAGATATTACTGTAGGTGAAAGTTTAGGATCCAGTGATCATCAGTCAGTGTGGTTTAATATAAGAACAGTGACTGAGTCACACCACACAAAAACAAAAGTTTTAGACTTTAGAAAAACAGACTTTTCTAAAATTAGAATATGGGTAGAGGAGTCATTATCAGACTGGAGCACTTTAAATGGAGTCCAAGAGAAATGGGATTATTTAAAAGTTGCACTATTGAAGGCAACAGAAAATTGCATAAGGCTTGTCAGTAAAAGCAAAAAATTCAAGAAACCACTGTGGTACTCCGCAGATGTGGCCAAAATAGTTAAAAACAAAAAGTTATCATTTAGGAATTATAAAAAAACCCAGAGTGAGGAAGACAAAATTATCTATAAGATTAGGCAGAAAGAGGCTAAGCAAGTTATAAGAGCTTCCAAATCACACACAGAAGAGAAAATAGCACAGTCAGTAAAAAAGGGGGATAAAATATGTTTTAGATAAATAAATGAGAAAAGAAAAGTAAAACAAGGATTAGTTAGATTAAAAAAAAAAGAAGGAAGGTATGTAGAAGAGGATAAAGGTCTAGCTGACTGCCTCAATGAATATTTTTGTTCTGTATTTACAGATGAAAATGAAGGAAAGGGACTTCAGTTGAGAAAAAGGATAAATGAGTCATTTATTACACGTGAGTTTACAGAGGAAGAGGTTCTATTTCAACTGTCAAAAGTAAAGACAAATAAGTCAATGGGACCTGATGGAATACACCCAAAGCTATTAAAAGAGCTTAGTGGTGTACTAGCAAAACCATTAACAGATTTATTTCACCAATCATTGTTAACAGGAGTAGTCCCAGAAGATTGGAAGTTAGCGAATGTTGTGCCCATTTACAAGAAAGGTAATAGGGAGGAGTCAGGCAACTATAGGCCAGTAAGCCTTACTTCAGTAGAGGGGAAAGTGATGGAAACCATGTTAAAGGATAGGATTGATGAACATCTAAAAACACATGGATTTCAAGATCAGAGACAACATAGGTTTACTTCAGGGAGATCATGCCAAACTAATCTTATTGATTTTTTTGATTGGGTAACTAAAATTATAGATCAGGGTGGTGCAGTAGACATTGCTTACCTAGATTTCAGTAAGGCTTTTGACACTGTTGCACATAGAAGGCTTATCAATAAACTGCAATCTTTAAGTTTGGATTCAAATATTGTTGAATGGGTAAGGCAGTGGCTGAGTGACAGGCAACAGAGGGTTGTAGTTAATGGAATATATTCGAAGCTTGGACTTGTCACCAGTGGGGTACCTCAGGGATCTGTACTTGGACCCATTCTCTTTAATATTTTTATAAGTGATATTGCAGAAGGTCTTGATGGTAAGGTATGTCTTTTTGCTGATGATACTAAGATATGTAACAGGGTTGATGTTCCAGGAGGGATAAGCCAAATGACAAATGATTTAGGTAAACTAGAAAAATGGTCAGAATTGTGGCAACTGACATTTAATGTGGATAAGTGCAAGATAATGCATCTTGGACGTAAAAACCCAAGGGCAGAGTACAGAATATTTGATAGAGTTCTAACCTCAACATATGAGGAAAGGGATTTAGGGTGATTATTTCTGATGACTTAAAGGTAGGCAGACAATGTAATAGAGCAGCAGGAAATGCTAGCAGAATGCTTGGTTGTATAGGAAGAGGTATTAGCAGTAGAAAGAGGGAAGTGCTCATGCCATTGTACAGAACACTGGTGAGTGTGGGATAAAACTTACCAGGAAAGGTTAAAGGATCTTAACATGTATAGCTTGGAGGAAAGACGAGACGCGGGGATATGATAGAAACATTTAAATATATAAAGGGAATCAACACAGTAAAGGAGGAGACTATATTTAAAAGAAGAAAAACTACCACAACAAGAGGACATAGTCTTAAATTAGAGGGACAAAGGTTTAAAAATAATATCAGGAAGTATTACTTTACTGAGAGGGTAGTGGATGCATGGAATAGCCTTCCAGCTGAAGTGGTAGAGGTTAACACAGTAAAGGAGTTTAAGCATGCGTGGGATAGGCATAAGGCTATCCTAACTATAAGAAAAGACTAGGGAGTAATGAAAGTATTTAGAAAATTGGGCAGACTAGATGGGCCGAATGGTTCTTATCTGCCGTCACATTCTATGTTTCTATGTTTATATAATTTTATCTTGTAACTGTCAATAGCATTCTTTTATATAATTCTCAGAGTCTTGGATTACTATACTCCCCCCTTTATCCGCTGGTTTTATACAATGTTTTTATTACTTCTTAATTGTTGTAAAGCTTCCTTTTCTTCTATATTTAAATTATTCCTATTATTTTTAGTGTTTCTTTCCAACTTTTCAAAATCTTCTATTACTGACTTCTCAACTACAGGGAGTGCAGAATTATTAGGCAAGTTGTATTTTTGAGGATTAAATTTATTATTGAACAACAACCATGTTCTCAATGAACCCAAAAAACTCAATATCAAAGCTGAATATTTTTGGAAGTAGTTTTTAGTTTGTTTTTAGTTTTAGCTATGTTAGGGGGATATCTGTGTGTGCAGGTGACTATTACTGTGCATAATTATTAGGCAACTTAACAAAAAACAAATATATACCCATTTCAATTATTTATTATTACCAGTGAAACCAATATAACATCTCAACATTCACAAATATACATTTCTGACATTCAAAAACAAAACAAAAACAAATCAGTGACCAATATAGCCACCTTTCTTTGCAAGGACACTCAAAAGCCTGCCATCCATGGATTCTGTCAGTGTTTTGATCTGTTCAACATCAACATTGCGTGCAGCAGCAACCACAGCCTCCCAGACACTGTTCAGAGAGGTGTACTGTTTTCCCTCCTTGTAAATCTCACATTTGATGATGGACCACAGGTTCTCAATGGGGTTCAGATCAGGTGAACAAGGAGGCCATGTCATTAGATTTTCTTCTTTTATACCCTTTCTTGCCAGCCACGCTGTGGAGTACTTGGACGCGTGTGATGGAGCATTGTCCTGCATGAAAATCATGTTTTTCTTGAAGGATGCAGACTTCTTCCTGTACCACTGCTTGAAGAAGGTGTCTTCCAGGAACTGGCAGTAGGACTGGGAGTTGAGCTTGACTCCATCCTCAACCCGAAAAGGCCCCACAAGCTCATCTTTGATGATACCAGCCCAAACCAGTACTCCACCTCCACCTTGCTGGCGTCTGAGTCGGACTGGAGCTCTCTGCCCTTTACCAATCCAGCCACGGGCCCATCCATCTGGCCCATCAAGACTCACTCTCATTTCATCAGTCCATAAAACCTTAGAAAAATCAGTCTTGAGATATTTCTTGGGCCAGTCTTGACGTTTCAGCTTGTGTGTCTTGTTCAGTGGTGGTCGTCTTTCAGCCTTTCTTACCTTGGCCATGTCTCTGAGTATTGCACACCTTGTGCTTTTGGGCACTCCAGTGATGTTGCAGCTCTGAAATATGGCCAAACTGGTGGCAAGTGGCATCGTGGCAGCTGCACGCTTGACTTTTCTCAGTTCATGGGCAGTTATTTTGCGCCTTGGTTTTTCCACACGCTTCTTGCGACCCTGTTGACTATTTTGAATGAAACGCTTGATTGTTCGATGATCACGCTTCAGAAGCTTTGCAATTTTAAGAGTGCTGCATCCCTCTGCAAGATATCTCACTATTTTTGACTTTTCTGAGCCTGTCAAGTCCTTCTTTTGACCCATTTTGCCAAAGGAAAGGAAGTTGCCTAATAATTATGCACACCTGATATAGGGTGTTGATGTCATTAGACCACACCCCTTCTCATTACAGAGATGCACATCACCTAATATGCTTAATTGGTAGTAGGCTTTCGAGCCTATACAGCTTGGAGTAAGACAACATGCATAAAGAGGATGATGTGGTCAAAATACTCATTTGCCTAATAATTCTGCACTCCCTGTATATGAATAGTGCTAGTCCTATAGTTCCTAGGATAGAAGCTGGACCTGTTTTTAAGGGTAGTGTGAGTATTATCCACCGCATTTTCTTTGCATTTACTTATATAAAAGAACCTTTTTAATGTCAGAACTCTTGAATACTTTAACATGTCAACGTATGCAGAGAATGAGTCAAACTATCTATTTTGGGCAAATTGAAGTCCTTTTTCTACTACCCTACACTCATTCTAGGTAAGTTGGTGTTTAGACAAATTGATTATTCCATCCGGTTTCCCATTTTTTCTTTCTTTTCGAACCTGTAATTTGACTCCTCCTCTCCATCCTCTTGGTCTCTGTTCCTCCTTCTCTTTTGCGGTGAAAAAACTACTTTCTCTCTTCTTCTCTCTGAAAAATCTTTTTGTGGATATTTGGGTGTTTCATCTGACAAAATTTTGAATCGATTTCTAGTCTCAATATCTCTTACATTGTATCTTTCAGCAGGACTATTATTCCTATAGTCCTTATAATATAGACTATTTTTTGATCTAACCTTAGTCTATTCCCCTTGTGATCTGGATTCTGGGGTTCTCCATATGTTTTGATTTTGTATTCTATTGCTATTCAACCTTTTTCTCTGAGTATTTATGTGTTTCTCTGCATTCTCTCTATTATGATTAAAACTATGTTGATCATATCTGGGTTTTTCATTATCAAACCTAGAAAAATTCCTGACTTTATTGTTTTTATAGTCTGACATATCTCATTTATATTTTATATATTTTACAAGCTTCACCTGTTCCTCTAGTCTTCCCAAATTTTCTTTGTTAGTTCTTCATAATCTTTAGTGTTAGTTATTGGTTCTAACCTCTTTTGGAACATTTCTATATCTTTATCTAACTGGGCACACTACGCACGTACTATGTACCACGCATCACGCACGCACTATGCACCTTTGGTAACTCCACCCCCTAGAAGTCTCAGCTCGCTGCAGGACCAGTTGAACGAAGAGGATTTAGTCAACACCCCTGTTATCTGCATTTTTTACATTGTTTACCTGCTGCATACGGAGGGAGAAGATGCTGTATTGGTCTGTGCAATAAATATTGTGAAAGTGGATACGCTTCGTGCCGTCTCTGTACCAAGAGGGAATTATTAAGGAGCTTTTACAGTTAGAGCAGGCTTTCTCTGCTCTATCTTTGTGAGTGTACCTTTCATTTCACTATATAAGATTCTAGTTTTTTAACA